TGCTATAATAATGTTACTACAATCGGAGCTCCAGCTAACACAACCTCTCACTGACTGCTTTACTGCTTCACCTCTCACTGTGATAGTGAACCAGAACTTCAGGCAAAGTTCTGGTTGTCAGCTGTTAAGTAATTAAGCGTTTATAGAATGTTTAATTGGGCAATTAGCATGCTTCTATGACCTTCATCTTTCCATAAACTGTTAGTTTTTAAGACGTGTGAAAATCCCCCAAAATAAAGTAAACATCTACGCTAAGAATTATCTTGATCTATTAATTATCAGTAATAATAAATTATCCATTAAACTTTAATTTAATCTTGAATAAGATCGGTAATAAATAATCAATATTAATTATCAATCCCTATCATAGTTATCATCAAGTAATAATATTAGCCTAAATAATCTATTAATCAGTTTTAAAATTATCCTTGAATAACGTAACTTGATATTATTATATTTGTTGAAACTCCTGTTATTTGTAATAACTGTTTAGGACCTAGACTACATTGTGTACAGCAGTTTAGATCCTTTATGATCCTGAACAGTGAACCAGTAATTTAACAGTCATTGTTAGTGCTGTTATTTAACTTTATCTTTTTGTACAAAATACAATGCTGAAGTGAGCAGCATTTCAACAGGTATTTTCAGGTGGATCCAATCAATAATCCTGAGTTAGAGATAGCATCATTTAAGAGAATGGAATTAACTGACCTACAGTCCTTCCATGCAGTAGACCTTACAGTCCTACCATGCAGTAGACCCCTTCAGTCCTACCATTCAGTAGACCCCTACAGTCCTACTATGCAGAAGACCCTAGAGTCCTGCCATGCAGTAGACCCTACAGTCCTGCCATGCAGTAGACCCCTACAGTCCTACCATGCAGTAGACCCTACAGTCCTGCCATGCAGTAGACCCCTACAGTCCTACCATGCAGTAGACCCCTACAGTCCTGCCATGCAGTAGACCCTACAGTCCTGCCATGCAGTAGACCCCTACAGTCCTACCATGCAGTAGACCCTACAGTCCTGCCATGCAGTAGACCCCTACAGTCCTTAGTTTTCCACTTTTCCACGAAAAGTGGTGGTCCTTCGCAGCTAACGAAAGTAATGATTATTTCCATTAATATTCTGATTTTCCCACAAACCATGAGATGAACCCACGAGGTGAGCCATAAAGTAGACCATAAGGTGAACCATAAAGTGAACCATGAGGTGAACAGTAAGATGATCCATAAAGTAAACCATAGAGTGAACAATGAGGTGAACAGTAAGATGACCCATAAAGTGAACCATACATTGAACTATAAAGTGAACTACTAGGTGAACAGTAAGGTGAACCATAAGGTAAACAGTAATGCAGTCCAAAATTGCACAAGTGTTATCTCTCCTCAGAATACACTTGAATTTAAACGTTCTTGGCAGAAGCTTCAAGTTCACTCGCTCTAGTGAACTTTTTTTTATTTATTTTTTATTTTTACATGCGTGCATGCGTATAAATACAATAAAACGAAACAAAATACAATATCACAAAAAGAACACCAAAGCACGTAAAATACCGGCCTGAAGGGCCGACAACAAAAAACTAACATAATGCAAGATAGTATAAAAAGAACATTGCAATACATGTTCTTTTTTTAAGCGTACAGGCAAGCACGCGTAAGGCAAACACATCACAAAAGCACAAATTACAAAGACACAAAAGTACGAATTACCAAATACACAAAATACCGGCCCGACGGGCCGACAACAAAAACAAGAAGCACAACAGTACAATTTCAAAGTACCCAAACCCGCACCCAACACCCAAACCCTCGAAACACAACACAAAATAAGCCCACAGGTCCCAGAAACCACACGGAGAGGCGCAATAAATAACTACAATAAAAATAAAAAAAAAAACACTTCCCCACACACACGCACGCACGCACGCACGCCACCGCACCCCACGCACACAAACGGACACAGCACCACAACACAGCACACACACACACACACACAAAAAAAAATCACTTAAAAGGAGGAAACACCTCAATGGGAGGCGAATATTTCTTAGGAAACTCATGCAGAGGATATTTCTGCTTATAGGCCTCCCACATTAAGTACTCCCTGTCGGTAGGAAAACGATTCCCCTGCTTGAGGGGGCGTGCATAAACTCGGGAATCACCAGATCAGGCGGAAGCAGCAGCGCCTGGAGCTGGGCGGCAGTAGTCGCATAACGAGGTAAGGCAGAGCAAATGGAAGCGGAAGAAGCGAACGTAGGCCGGCCCCGCCGCCAGACGCACAGGAGAAGACGAAGGCCGCGGAGACGGTAATAATAATAATAATAATTTTTATTTAGGTAAGGTACATACATAAAGAGATTTTACAAAGTTTGTTGGCTTTATAGATAGAGCTAGTACATACAATGCCTAAAGCCACTATTACGACACCCGACCACACCACCACCACCACCACCACCTGTAACACCACACCCGACACCGCAGGAGATGTAGAAGAGACGGCCAGAGACGGGAGAAGCGGCAAAGCCACCGCCGATGAAACAGGGGACGAAGCTGGGGGCACGGAACCCCCAGAGCGAGCAGTCTTCTTCAATACCACCACCAGGTCACCACGCTCACCAGCAGGAGGAACCACCCCCACGCAGAACCAGAACCATCCGACGCAGGCGACGCACCGGAAGCAACCTCCACAGGCACCTCACTAGAAGAAACACCGACACTGGCAGCCGCAGGCACATGGACCTCCGCCACCACCGAAGAATGCGATGCAACCGGAACCTCACCGCCGTCGCTGAAAGCCCCACCATCGTCGAATTCTCCCACATCAGCCCAATCAGAAGATCGCCGGGAACGCTTGGGCACCGGTCTCACATTATCAGAGCCGGATGTTGACTCAAGAGACCCGGTCAACACAAGCCGAGCGAACCGACGCTCTCCGCAGGACGGCAACATCCTCAACCACACGGGGAACCAGGTCGAGCACAGTAGGAGGCCCCACAGCACCCAGCACAGCCTGGGCACACGGCGAGGGCACAGTGACAGGCACCACAGTTGAAGAACAGGAAGACGGGGGAGCCTCGCAGACGGGAGCCGGAAGAACCACTGGAGGATCCTGGACAGCAACCGGGGCAGGACGAACACCCGACGGCGACACAACCTCCTGAGGAAAGGCAATAGGAGGCGCAACAGACGACACAGCCTCCGGAGAAGGGGCGACAGCAACAGAAGGCGCATCCGGCGACACACGGGGCATGGCAACATCCAAAGAGACGTCCACATTCACTGAAGCCTCCTCCACAGGGAGCAGTGGGAAATCCTCCTCACGGAAGAGGTTGATGGGCGCGATAGCAGGTTCAGAGCACCCAGCAGCCTGATGGCCCAAGAGGCCACAACGGTAACACGTACAGGGCTGACGAGCGTAAAACACCCGAACATTGCACCCCAGAAACTTCACTTGAGACGAAATGTCGGCCCGCAGCCGCATTCCTAGGGTGCGAATATTCGACCGCACACCCTTTAGCAGACCCGAGGAGAGCAGGTGCAACAGCACACTGACGACCGCTCCAAACTAGCCGAAATAACGCCTCAGCAGCCCCTCCGGGAATTCCAGGGGCGCCCCATGCACGCTTACATACGTTATGGCACCACTGTGATTTGAGACAGTCACAGTGCCTGCAACTTCCGGCAGGGGCAAGGTCCGCCCCTCGTAGCGACGTAAAAAAAATGCCCTATACACCTCCTCCGTCGTTAGTTTAACAATCACCCTACGGGCAGTCACCAGCTTAATGCCATAAATATCCCCCACAGGGACCCGCAGCATGTCACACAGCACCAACCCCACCTCAGGATAGCCTGCCCGATCAGAAAACTCGAGGCCTATAAACTGGGCACGCACAACAGGGGGGAGGGGGAGGCATGGCGCCGACACGCCAAATTGCACCCGCCCCCTCGCAACTCCAGGCAGCAACTGGCTGGTCAGGCGAGCTCATCTCAACCCTCTGGCGGCCAATGAGGCAAATCCTCTCTAGTGAACTTAGCAATTGTCTGTTCGCATTCTGTGGCTAATGACCTTGGGCCTTGTTATCTTAATAATGTGCGTAGTTCTGGTCCAGCAAAAAATTACTGTTAATAAGAGCGATATTATATTGGTAGAACTGGCTGAAGTGCAGTGAGAGTTTATCACGCGAGAGCTCAAGTGAGTGCTCATCAAGTGAGAGCTCATCAACTGAGAGCTCATCAAGGGAAAACTCATCATGTGAGCGCTCATCAAGGGAGAGCTCATCAAGTGATGAGCTCATGAAGTGAGAGCTCATCAAGCGAGAGCTCATCAAACTCATAAAGGGAAAGTTCATCAAGCGAGAGCTCATCAAGTGGGTGCTCATCAAGCGAGAGCTCATCAAACGAGAGCTCCTCAAGCGAGAGCTAATGAAACGAGAGCTCATCAGACTCATCAAGCGAGATCTCAAGGGAGGGATGCTCATGGGAGAGCTCATCAAGTGAGAGCTCATCAAAGGAGATCTCATCAAGGGAGAGCTTAACAGGTTCATCAAGCGAGAGCTCATCAAGTGAGAGCTCATCAAGTGAGAGCTCATCAAAAGAGATCTCATCAAGGGAGAGCTTAACAGGTTCATCAAGCGAGAGCTCATCAAGTGAGAGCTCATCAAGCGTGAGCTCATCAAGCTCATTAAGGGAGAGCACATCAAGTGAGAACTCATCATCCTCATGAAACAGGAACTTATCAAGCTCATCAAGCAGGAGCTCATCAAGTTCATCAAGATGGAGCTCGTGAAGCACATATTAACATGTGCTCACGTTAGTTGTGGGAAAGCAAGTGTATATTACCTCGCTTGCCTCTCGACCTATGAATCAGGCCACTTCTGGCCATCATTCTGACTACTGTTATTTAACAATGAAGGAAGCTCCACGATGTGTAACACGCCGCAGACCGACCACATAAACAACTACTGATCAGTCATAACACGGAGATAGGTAGCCAGGTTACCTGTCTTCATAAAGGTGAGAAGTTTGTTGGTAGTCTCCGGAGTTGTCTGGTTGGAAGCCTTCAGGTACTGCATGATGAAGATGTTGGGCACAAAGTTGACCATGTTCTGCTCCCCACACCCGTATGGCATCCGGATCAGGCTCCCTAAATTCTGTAATAAATATAATGAAAGAATTCTAGCTTAGGTGAAAATCTTCAGAATCACAAGCTGGTTCTGTGTGTATCAAGGATCAAACAATATGCGCGGTGGAGTAACATTGTCGGGGAGAGTAAACTTATCCCCAGCGATGGAAAGCTAAATACTCTTATCACACTTTTGCTTAGTTTGAATATTTATTATCTACAAAACTGAGCCCCAAACTGATTATATGAGAACCAGCATATTGCTAAACATAGAAATGTCCTTAGTTGCATTTATCGATTTTTCTCCTTTACATGAAATAATTTTTATCTTGGCAAACTTATTTTTTGGACAGATTTCACACATATTTAGTTTAGCCTCACATCAGGATGAGGCCCATTGTTTAAATTTTACACATGATTATCATAGGTGTAAACTGTGAGTGAGTACCTCCAGTGAGAGAGCAAGGAGGTCCCCGACGGCCGTGACCCAGGCTCGCTCTGACCCCTCCACGATGAGTGCTGGGGTCACCAGCTCCCACGACTCTAGCGAGTCCTCTCCCGTCTCTAAGTCTGTAACAAAGAGGAAATGTACGTCATATAGCACCAAAACATTACATAACATTGAACATCATACAATGAGGATCTCTTAAAACCAATCCAAAATGTTACAATCCTGAACTGCCACATCTTAGCGAGAAGAGGTGTGTGTAAACTTGACTCTTCGTTAGCTGTCTAACAGCACCATCGTAGAGTTAGGTATATGCCTTTAGTAGCGAGTCTAGTATTGACATCTTCACAATGATGATTGCTAGGAGGTGTTTGGCTACAAAATAACAAGTATGTTGACAATAATAAATTCATACCGTCTGAGCAGATGTATTTAGTCCAGGTCTTCTCTCTCAGGAATCCTTCAGCCTCCACCGTGATGGGCTTTATCAAAGAGTCTCTGAAAAAATATATATGATAAAAGATAAATAAACTGTCTCATATTTTTTCTACATGCAAAAATTTATTTATTTTTTATTATTTCACATAGTACGAATAAATTAAGACATAGATGCTAAGAGGCAACAAGGCAATATTGAGATTATAAAAACCTTCTGTTAATGGAGGAGTCCCCAGAGCCGCAGGGCTGAGAGTGCTCAGGGTTCACGAACGCTGCCACCGTGATGTTGACCTCTCCGATCTCGCGGGGCTTGATCCTCACCGTGTGGACGACCTTGTCTTGTGCTGGCACACAAGAACTACGCTGACCAGGCTCGCCCTGCTCCCCCGCCTCCTCCAAGATCTCGTATTCAGCGCTCTCTCTCACCTCAACAGTCACCTACACCAAGGAATTAGACGTACCAAATAAATTTGTTAAATTTACCTGATGAACGTATCCTAAAGTATCCTGGAGTTGTAAAAAAATTAATAGAAAAAGCATGATTCCAATTTTAAAATTTAACTAATAAAGAGGATAAATATCGAGCCCTGTTACGACCCTGCGTTCTCCAGTGGAAACCAGAGGTCAAAATTGAGCTATTAAACTTTCTGGTAGTACAGTTGAGGCATCACGAGCGGCAATTGTTTGTATCTTCCCTGCCAGACGTAAGACTATTATTGTTTCTCAAAGAGCATTTAAAGACTGAGCTGGGGGTTGATTATTAAATAATAACAGGCACCAACTTTGCTTACTAATACTTTCTAATCATTTTTTTTTTTTTTTTTTTTTTTTTTTTTTTTTTTTTTTTTTTTTTTTTTTTTTTTTTTTTTTTAGATATATACAAGAGTTGCTACATTCTTGTACAGCCACTAGTACGCATAGCGTTTCGGGCAAGTCCTTAATCCTAAGGTCCCTGGAATACGATCCCCTGCCGCGAAGAATCGTTTTTTCATCCAAGTACACATTTTTTACTGTTGCGTTAAACAGAGGCTACAGTTAAGGAATTGCGCCCAGTAAATCCTCCCCGGCCAGGATACGAACCCATGACATAGCGCTCGCAGAACGCCAGGCGAGTGTCTTACCACTACACCACGGAGACTGCAAAAGTAACAAGTAAAAAAGTAAAAGTAAAAGATTTGTAAAGTAACAATACGTTGCATAGGGGAAGATCTTTAATGTGCTTAGCTGCACGATCAATTAGGCTCCTTCCGGCACCACGACATGAGGGAGGCTAGCTGGTCGCTAGGAGCTTTCTTCTCTGGCTGGCGTTCGTGCGGACGAGACCTACTCTGTGGCTGCATCCCTACTCTTCTCCCTTCTCCTCTTACTTATTTCCCTTACCTGAAGTTCCTGTACCCTTAAGTTAAGTACGGGGCATTATTAAGTCTACCTACTCTGGTAGTAACGTTTGGTGAGACCTGGGGGTAGTATTTGCCAGTGTTTTGGGTACCCCTAAGTGTTGTGTTTTGTATTAGGGTCCCACGTGGTTTCCCTACCCTAAGCTGCATCCAGCTTCAGTGCTTATCCAGTAGTACTTTACCCTAGCTTGTTCTTAGTGTAAACCTTGTATCCTGCCTACGTGGACCAAGGCTTTTAGCGTAAGATAGTGTGGTAAAGTTATTATTATTATTGTTATTGGTGTGAGTGTATATGGGGGGTTGTTAAGGGGTTAATAAATAAGTACATGAATTACAGAGTATCCCTTCTTCCTGTGTGGGAGCGCATTGATCAACCCTTAGACTAACATATATGGTCTAGTAGCAAGTTATTACTACTGTGGATAGTTTATTTTGGGGGCCGGGCCTTTTAGCTCTCCCATATTTGATACTCTGTCTTCTAACTACCCTTACCCCTTAATAGTACCAGTACCCCATAGAAGCACCACCACACAATTATTTATAACAAGTGGTTGGCCAGTCCGGGAGGAACATTATAAGTGTAAAAAATTAGATTCTTGAGTGCCAAAATTAAATTTTTTTGTTTTCCGCAGAACGGTTGTGTGCTAGCCTAGGGTCCAGCTCATCTAGCTAAGGACATTCTTGCACTGACTGGACACCCAGCTGGATCCCTTCATGATTAAGGTTAGTGTGGCCTTGTGTTAGGGGCCGTGCAAATTTTTGTTTTTTTCCAATTTTTATTTTTTAATTTTTTCTTTTGCTGGGAGCTAAAATTATTAGTGATGTCTTCTGAAATGCAGAGACTGGCAAGCGAGCCTTCAGCAGTAGAGATAAAGAAACTTACCAAGTCTAATTTAGTATTGTTAGGCAAGGAATTAGGCCTAGAATTAAATGACGCGGATAAAGAGTGGACTTTGGTGAATGAAATATTACAACATTGTATTGATGAAGAACTATTGGCAAGTGATACACCTTTATGCCAGCCTAGCCAAGCAGAAAGTGCAGCTCATAAGGATAGAGAATTAGCTCTAGAGTTAGCAAGAATAAAATTAGAGGAGCAAAGACTCAAAACCGAGGAGGCTAGAATTAATGCGAATGCTACTGGACCTCCACCTGCTGGGGATTCAAACCCCAGGCATTATGAGAAAAAGCATAATTTGCCTGAATTTTCCGAGTCGGACCCTGAAAGGTTTTTCAACCATTTTCAGAGATTGGCTGTGTCCATGAACTGGCCAAAGGAAGAGTGGGTGAAAATCCTACAGGGAAGACTTAGGGGTAAAGCACAAGATATTTTTATAAACATGCCTGACGACGAGTGTTTCGAATATGATAAAGTCAGGGAATGTATTTTGCGGGCATATGAAATTACTCCTGAAGCTCACCGCCAAGTTTATCGCAACCTTAGGCCTACTCACAACCAACCGCTCACTGAATTTGTTAGTGATCAAATTAGATTGTTTGATAGATGGATTCGCTCGGCGAAAGCCGAAACATACGAGGCTCTCAGGAACTTAATTTTAATGGAGCATTTTATAGATATTATGCCAGAGAATGTTTCAAATTACATTAGAGGAAGGGTAGAGGTAAATTCTAAAATAGGGGATTTGGCCAAGTTGGCAGAAAACTACCAATTGGCGGGCAAAAGGCCCAATAAAAATAATTATACCCCACAGAGTAGCAAAACTTATACCCACAGCCAGTCCAGACCAGCTCATTCTAACCCTTTACCTAATGCACCTTCTGTTTCAGACATAACTAACCCTGTTAAAGTGTCTAGCCCCACGGCACCTAAGGGTGAACCGAAGGGTAATTCTGTTAGTAATTCTGTTAATTCTGTTCTCTTCTCCCCGACGTTTTTGTGGTCACTGTAATTGTCCAAACCACACTATTAGCCGTTGTTGGCAACTGTACCCGGAAAAAAGACCCAATGCTCTAGTTGTGACACAGGGCTTGAGGCCTTCAGAAGGGTTAGGGAGTAAGACCTCCAACCCACAGTGGTTGGACTTGCTTACCCCATTCTTATCGAAAGGGAGACTACTTTTGTCTGAGGGTTCTTCCTGGAAGGACGTGGTGATTTTCCGAGACACCGGTGCCATCCAGACTTTAATTTTAGAGCGTGCGTTGCAAGGTGCCAACACTCTCGACACTGGAGAGGTGGTACTGGTCGAGGGTGTCACTAGTGATACTCGAGCAGTACCCCTCCATAAGGTTACCCTGGAATCTGATTTCCACAAGGGTGTTTGTACAGTCGGAGTCACTTCATACCTACCTTTCCCTAATGTTGATGTAATAGTTGGTAATGATTTAGCAGGGGATAAGGTAGGGGACTCCAGACTGCCTATTATGTTGCCTACCCCTAAGGTTTGCCTGGATCCACCCGCCGCAGACGATAATGTTGTGTACCCTGCGTGCGCGGTGACCAGGTCTATGGGACTTAAATGTAAGGGCAGCCCTGTGCTTGCCAAGGTGGTAAATCCCGAGGTCACGAGGAGCTTACCGAGTGGTGAAAACCAAGTGGACCTCGCGGACACATTCATGGCCCGACTCGATGACGTGGCCGAGGACATTGTGGAGAGCCTGCCACCGCCATCTACCGAGAGTAGTGGGGAGGTGGAGGAGAACACTGTTGAGCCTCGGCCAATGGCATCTGACCAAGGCCTAGATGCCTCCTTGAGTGAGTTACAGAAAGCTGACCCCACTCTTGCAGATTGTCATGAGACAGCCGTCTCTATGGAGGAAATTGTAGACGCAGCAACTGGGTACTACTACAATGATCGGATTTTGATGAGAAAATGGAGACCACAGAGTGCTCCCTTGTCAAATGAGTGGGAGGTAGTCCACCAGGTTATGTTGCCGACCTGCTATAGAGAAAGAGTTTTGGCAGCTGCTCATGATGATCCTATGGGGGGACATCAAGGTATTAATATTACGTATCACAAAATTTTAAAGTATTTTTTCTGGCCCAAGCTGAAAAGCGATGTGGCAAAATTTTGTAATGCGTGTATTGTTTGTCAACTGGTTGGGAAACCAAACCAGACTCCACCTAAAGCTCCTCTAAGGCCTATTGTCGTGCCAGAGGAACCATTTTCTCATGTGGTAATGGACTGTGTTGGACCATTACCTAGAACTAAGTCTGGTAATATTTACCTAATCACAATGATGTGTATCACTACTCGTTACCCAGAGGCTTTTGCTGTAAGGAACATCCGAGCAAAAACTGTTGTTGCTCGTATGTTGCAATTTTTTTCCACTTTTGGACTGCCTCGGGTCGTGCAAACTGACAATGGTACTAATTTTAAGTCTGATATTTTTGAGCAATTTTGTAAGGAACATGGAATAACTCATAAGGTTTCCAGCCCATACCATCCACAGAGTCAGGGGGTAATTGAACGTTTCCATCTAACTCTGAAGCAGATGTTGAAGACATCGTGCGAGAGTTCCCACACCTTCTGGGATGAGAATTTACCGTATGTTTTGTTTGCGGCTAGAGAGGGATTACAAAGTTCACTGGGTTGTTCTCCTTTTGAGTTAATCTTTGGCCATAAAGTTCGTGGACCCTTGCAAATGTTACAGGAGAATCTGTTAGGGAACGTAACGTTAACCGAAGGTTCGGCTTTCTTTGCGCAACACCACCAGAGACTCAAGGACTGCAAGGCGGCTGCAATTAAGTATCTTGGGAAGGGCCAAGAAAAGATGAAAGAACGTAACGATGCTAAATTTAAGTTACGGGTATTTCAGCCTGGCGACCCTGTCCTGGTATTAAAGCCTCGACTTGGGAACACTATGTCCCACAAGTACGAAGGCCCCTACATTGTGACAGAAAAGACTGGGGACCTCACGTACAAAGTGAGGCACTCTGACAAACGTAACCAGGTAATGCTCATACATGTAAATCGGCTGAAGAAGTTCCAGGGCCCCAGGCCCATTGCACTAACCAATGTTTCCATTTCCAGTGAGAGAGGGGATGATTGTTCTGGGGACCCAACTAATCTCATTTTCAAT